TCCTAGATTTTCCCTGACAAAAAACCCCAAACATTTCCTTGTCCAAACAAAAAACTTCTAAGTCAACAGGCAGGTGGAGTAACAAGAGTGTAGGCTTTGATGACTTGTGCACAAGTGCTGGCTCCCATAATGTGGCCTCAGGCTGCTCACCTGTGGGCTGACCTGACTTGAACAACATGTAGAGATAACATGTAGGCTGACATGGACTAGAATGACAATCTGTGGTAGCAGGGTCTGGCAGAGCCTTGAGACCAGTCAAGCACTCTTCTACCTGTCCTACCACATGGTGACCGTGACCCCTCACTTGCTGACCCCCTCATTTGCGTGAACATCTTTATTACTGAATCCTGCAGAATAGGACATGCATCTTCCGGCCTAGCACATCAGTGTCATTTGGCACCACACTCTACCTTTTATTCTATTCTTGTGCCTGGCAAGGAATTGCTAGGATGAATAAATGAACAAATGCATTTTTGCTTAAACATGAAAACCATGTTTAAATCCTACACTGTTAAGCACTGTTCTAGTTTCATTCTGTTGCTGTAATAAACACGGGGGAGGAAGAAAGGGGTTCTATTTGGCTTACATTTCCAGGTTAGAGTCCACCACTGCTGGGAAGTCAAGGCAGGAACTTTATGCATCTCATCCACAGTCAAGAGCAGAGAGAGGAGGCTGGAGAGAGGGTTCAGCAGTGAAGAACACTGGTTGCTCTTACAGAGGACCTGGGTTTGATTCCCAACACCCACATGGCAGCTAACAACCCCTGTAACTCTAGCTCTGGGAGATTCAATGCCCTTTTCTGAAGTCCACGGGCACTTACATGTAGGCAATACACTCATACACATAAAATTAATTTTTTAAAAAGAGAATAAAATCATCTTTGCTTCCTCACCTCCTCACTTGGCTTGTGCTTCTACTCAGATAGCTTTCTTCACTCTTACATAGCTCAGAATCCCTTGCCTAGAAAATGGTACAATTAGGGCTGGAGAGATGGCTCAGTGATTAAGGGCACTGGCTGCTCTTGCAGAGGACCTGGGTTCAGTTCCCAGCACCCACATGGCGGCTAACAACCGTCTATAACTCCCATTACTGGGGATCCGATGCAGCTCTTCTGTCCTCCATGGGCACTGCACAACATGGGTGCACCTACCTACATGCAGGCAATACACTCA